TAGCTCCAAATATTCAAATGACTTAGATAATGAATAGTAATACCTCACCTCTATGAGCTTGTCCTTTGCCCACCCTCCCAACAGTGCCAAGCTGTCTGTAGGACACAATGCCCAGATGGCTGTCACCAGAATAAGAGCCAGGAGGTCCACGACATGAGACAGGCTGGCCTGTTCCGCCTGGAGGGAGTGGGGAGAAAAGGAGCGAGGATGTGAGAAGCAGGGATAAGAAAAGAGAGAGTTTCAAACTTTCTGCAGAGGGAATGAGGCCGCTGGAACATATTGATTGTTCTCATCTATGTTTTTCGCTGCAACAGATTTAGAGGTTTTAAGAGGCAATCCATTACAAGGCGCTAACTTTGTTACATCGAGGTCATCCATGTTCATTCCCTTCAGCTAATTAAAATCTCCTCCAAGCATCTCCTCCCAGGGCATTTTAAGACTTAAAATACCCAAAACTTTATTAGAAACTTTTAGAAAAATAAAATGAGTTCATATAACTGGGGGACAATATTTGTTGCAAAACAAATAAATAGAAAACAGCTAAACCAAAACCTCTGTGCTGTTTGGAAGTGATCTAAAACATGTGCCACAGTCAACATAATGCCGCTCAGATAGAGCAGAAGATGAGGTGTTTTTAACGCATACCTCCCTACATGACATATATCACTGTTTTTTAAGGGAAACAATGAAAGCAGCATCAGATTCATGCACCACAAGGATGTAATAGGACAGTTTGTGCTTCAATAAATGGACTGCCGTCGCTCTGACTTGAACTCACATACTGTATGAGTGACACCTCTAAATAAACTCCAGGGCAACAAACAGGAGGCACCTACACACCTGCCTACACGGGGGGGACCAAGGGGTCAAAGTTCATTTCGCTGCAAACTAAGGTTTTCAAAAGTCTGGCGCACAGAAAAAGAAGAGAAAAAGGGAAGATGAAACCAAAAGCTTGATGGGATTTTAGGAGTAAATATTAAAAATAAACTAAGGATGAGTCAGGAACAGGTCCAGGAAAGGAATTGCAGAAGAATGACGCCCATTCAGAGCCAGCTAAGAAGCAAAGGGTTTATATCAATGTTATTTTAAAATATAGCATCCGCTAGCTCAGCCTCGTGAGACCATCCTGATCTCGCGAGCTTTCAAGGTTTCACTCG